ACGTCGCAAATCGAGATACGTGGTTTGGTAGTTTCACCGTTGGTATGCTCGTTAGTCGAGGGCCGTAAAAATTAATGGAAATTATAAAGCGCCAGTGACGTCAGCGGCACTTTATAATTTCCCCATATTGTCCAGAAATACGTCCTGCGGGCTGATTATTGAACTTGATAGACAAAATGATAGACAAAGAAGACACAGGGAGTATAGAGTAACCACTGGCTGAATTGAGTGGTTCCTTTCTGCCTATGGCAGAAAATGATGGGCAAACTATAAGGTCTCTCGTGGGTTTCCGTTAGTTAATCTATTACTTACCTCCCTTGTCCATTGCAACCACTCGCTGCCACCAATATGGTCCCTCTATGATCTCTTTTGTTTTCTATGTCTATTGTTTTCTATCAATTTCCATAATCGGTCCGCAGTTTTCCAAATGAAAAATGAGGCATGACAAGAAGTCTGCAACGTCGCAAACGGAGATACGTGGTTTCACACGTGGTACACTTTGGTTATCGATACGAAGACGAAGACAGTGAATGAGGTAGACGCTGTGTCCTAGAGAAGAAGACTCCCCCCCCCCCCTGCTCATATTCCCCATAGATGGGGGGGGGATTAGCGAAAGGCACGGAAAGAGGACAATATGTACGAAAAAAAAAGCTGAGAAGGTTTTTATTAAAATAAAAATCGGCGGAGGAAGGCGAGGAGAAGAGTGAAAAAGTCCCTGGGCGCGAGGTAGTCGGGAGTGTGTGGGAGTGTGTGAGCGCTACACTGCCGTGGTGAGGAAGAACACCGTATGAACATAGGAGGGTTGCCAAATTTCCTTCAATTAAATGCTTATTTTTGAGGAGAGTTATGAATATTTTCCCTCGACATTTTCACATACTATAGATTAAATTGGACTTATTTACTGAATTGAACTATGAATGTGGAAAGATGGTGTGTGCTCTTTAGTTGAGGGCCATAAGAATTAATGGGAATTTTAAAACGCCAGTGACGTCTGCGGCGAAGAAGCCACCGTCACCTAGCGTTGACTCATGATCCCTGTCCATAAGGCTCTTGTCACATGTCCACGGCTCACGACTTAGCGCTCAGCCCCTTTTGATCTAATGCCAAATCCCGCTTTTCCATTCTCTCAAAAGGAACTACATCCACTTTTACATTGTCCCTTATCCAGCTCACCAGGAACACACCCCACCTCTCCTCTTCCACATAGTTCCATTTAGCATAAATACGTCCAATTGGACCGCGTTTAACAGAAATGAACCAAGCCACATCAGCTATTGCCAAATTTAACGGGGAAATTTAATTTTTTACGAGAGACCGTTTGTGTGGATTCCTCTGAAAATTTTAAGGGATTTACCTCGTACTATGGAGAAAATCCACTAAAATTTGCACGAAAATCCGCACAGCCGTTTTCATGTAAAAAATTAAATTGCCCAATTAAATTTGGCAATAGCTGATGTGGCTTGGTTCCTTTCTGTTTAACGCGGTCCAATTGTGATTGAAATCCTGAAAAAAATTGGTAGAAATATATCCCCAAGTTTTCCAGGAATTTCGTATTTTATCGAAGGAAATTTGGCAGCGCCTGAGGGTTCATGCGGCGTTTTTCCTTAGGACGGGAGTCCACCCCCGTAACTTTCAAGTGGGGCCGCGTGGCGTGTAACATCGAAAATGCATCCTGGAAAACGACATAGTTTATCGCCGCGATCTGCGGGGCTCCGCGACGAGCGTATCGGGCCCCCGCCATCGCCATCGAAATCCGATTTCGTCATCGCCCGATCCCGACCCGTGTCGCCCGTTAATGACAAAAACCTCCGACTCCATTGCCGGCTCGCCCGGTGCCGTTGTGCAACGGGGATCGGCCCTCCAGCCAGAGTTTTGATTTTTACTAGAAGAAGAGGTTACACGGTTAAAAGTTTTTGGAGTAAAATGAAGCAATAGACAAAGTACGGAGTTAAGCATTCTGATACCAGCGGGCTGATTATTGAAATTGATGGACAAAGCGATAGACAAAGAAGAAAAAAAGTATATGGAGGGATCCTATTGGTGGAAGCGGGTGGTTGCAATGGACATAGAGGATAGGTAATAGACTAACTAACGACAACCCACTAAAGACCCGACAGTTAGTCCGTCATTTTTGTCCCTATTCTGAAAGAACCACCCATTTCAACCAATAGAATCGCTCCATACTCCCTATGTCCTCTTTGTCCATCGCTTTGTCTATCAATTTCAATACTCGGCCTGCTGTTCCTTAACCAAAACCCACGTTCTAGAATGCGATTTGCACGACAAAAAATTACTGAGTTCAACTCTTTGCCGAGATATTTCATGTTCCTTGACACGTGAATTCAAACCTCCCGCTCATGGAAACTCGATGGTCTACGTGAGTCAAAGCGCACACTGAACGTTACCGTGGCAGTCTCCGCGGTGTGAAAATATGGCAACCTCAATCTTGACGCTTTGGCTCAGCTACAGCAAATTGTTCACACTTTGAATAATAAAAGGTGGGAAAGGAACAATGCTCGATTGAAGTAGCCCACCGAATCCGTTGTAAGACGCGATTTGACTCACGTAGAGTATTGCGTTTCTTACGACCGGGCAACTGTATCCCGTAACTAATGTAAATAAAAACCTTAATATCTTAGGAGTTAATTTTAGTAATTTTAGATGTTAGAATTGTGCTCTACGTGTAATTTTGGTTGAGAAACAGGTATCATAATGCTTAGATTCGTACTTTGGTGGTCCTCTCTGTGCCGGAGTCTATATAGTTCCCGAAAACCCCGAGTGATATGAATGCGGAGCAGAATCTATCCTCACGGTTTCAGGACATTTCGTCAACGATTTTTTGCCCGGGCACCTGTTTTGTCCAGTGGTTTACGTCCACACGTAAAATAGGCAACAGTGACTCGGTCCAGCTTTATATTTTAGTCCGTATATAAAATTATATTGACAATATATAAGAGAGAAAATTGAGAGACATGAGGTATTTTTATGGGAACTCATTTTTTACTCATTTTTTTAAATATACCTTATATGTACCTTTTTTAATATAAATATTACATCATTTTAACAACAATTACGTTTTTAAAACGTGAAAAATATTTTTTAAACCTTTTCCAAACGGTGGCATTAATATTAATCTCGATGTGCCGTAGTTGTGTTGAGAGGAACTATGCAAGAGGGGAAAAAACCAAGAAGAACACAATCTTCGGTTTTAATTCATTTACACATCGATTTTTTAAAGTAAAATAATCCACTTTTGAGCGTTTAATTGCGCGTACACCACGCTGCAGCACAGTTAAAGCACTAAATGTAAAAGAAAAAATTAAAGTTCTTTGGGAACCATTCAATTTGGCACGAAACCACATTAATATTTACAAAACACACGTTATATTTTCCTTTAATACATTTTTTTTTCTTCCTCATTAATTTAAATGAGAATAATCCATGCAGAGTGTGCAAACATTTCAAAATCATTGGTTGGAAAACGCTGACTCCGCGAGTTTAAATATTAGAGCCTAACACAGAGCGGAGCGACGTGCTGCCAGCGCGAAAAACGCATTGGCGCCTACAAACCTAAGGGGATACTTCACGCATTGCGCAATGCTTGAAGTATCCCCTTAGGTTTGTAGGCGCCAATGCGTTTTTCGCACTGGCCGACGGCCCGCCGCGCCGCAGCGTGCCACAGCACCTCAAGCAACTACTACACAGCAGAGTATCATACGAAATTGAAGGTGCTCCAACATATTGAACAACCAAAATCGTCGTGAGTGATTGTCGTTTATATTTACAAATGGACCAATTAACTTTAGATCTCAATTGGTAGGTGGACCAAAATTCCCCTGCCGAAAAACGCGTGGGCGAAAACTACTAGAACAAACAGGTAAGCGGACAAAAAATCGTTGACAAAATGTCCTATAACCATCGTCACGAAATGACTTAAACTACGGAGACTGCTGATTACGGAGCGGAATCTACTCTTTCTGCGGAGAGTCATACGTTTTTATGGGGCTGATTTTATTTCGCACTCATATCACTAAAATGTTTTGGGCACCATATAGATTCCGGCACTGAATTTCATTCCTCGATTTTTGATAGTCTAGTTACAAGTGCGGAGGTATCGTCTCATAATGGTTATAACTAAGATATTAAAAACGATCAAATTCACCGAAAATTCAAGCTATCCCTGCCATGATAGCTAAGTAGCCGTATAGCTCTCAGGTTCTCGAAACCGATTTTACTTCAAAATTCGTCTAATCTAATTAAAATGAAATCACTGATGAAGCTAAAACAACAAAATTGGTTCTCTCTGTATGAAAACTGAACACAGCCTCGCTTTTCTGACAGAAAGCCGTATCTTAATTGGACTGTATTCAGCAGAAAGCAACCAAGCCACATCAGCTACCCACCACCAAATTCAATTGGCTAATTTAATGTTTTACATGAAAACGGCGTGCAGATTTGCGTGCCAATTTCCGTGACTTTTCTGCAATTTACGAAGCAAATGCCCTTACATTTTCAAAGGAATTCGCACAAACGTTCCCTCGTAGAAAATTAAATCGCCCCGTAAAATTTGGCAACAGCTAATGAGGCTTGGCTCCTTTCTGCTAAACGCGGTCCAATTACCACATGAGCCGTGTTCTCCGTGCAACTACTTTAACGGAGTCTGACGTTCCACGGAAAAAAAAGTGTCAGGGGTTATCCCCCAAAGTTGTTCTACTACCCAAATTTGTTGGATGATATGGACATTTTCAATTCATTTTGGTAGCATCGCAACTCAAGTTGGGGTAGTACCGCAACATTTGGGTTAGTAACCTAATTTATCGGGATACTACCGCAATTAATTGGGATACTACCACAATTAATCGGGGTATTACCACGACTAATTGGGAATGTCCATATCATCCAACAATTGCGATTTAACCCCTACCTCTCTTTTTCCGTGGCAAACGGGCCTATATGCGTATCGATAGGTTGATCCATACGGACAATATTTCTGTTCCCAGGTATGGCAGGACATCGAGACGGTCATCCTGGGCAGCCCCCAAACCTTCCCGCACCTGGAGATGGACTCCAGCCCGGGGACACCGGACCTCCACTCGAACCTGGGGACCCCCATCTCGGGCTGCGACCCCCTCTGCGGCAACCCAGACCTCGACCGAGTCCCACCCCACGGGCAGACCCCGTCCGGGTACTACATCGACATCGGCGTCCACGCAAGTTCCTACCGGCCCAAACCCTGCTCCGGCCCCAACGAGCAGCTCACCCAACTCACCCCTCACGTCTTCTACTCCCTCCCCAACTCCGCCACCACCTCCGAAGACTGCTGCAAGCCGGACTTCTACGGAGACACGAACGCGCGGATAAAATCGGAACCAGAAGCCTCCACTTCGCACTTCCAACATCATTATTACCCACCTTACAACTACGGGCAAGGATCGTACGCGCCTGGCGGCGCGTCATCTAGGTGTTTGGTATCCCTTGGTCAGATCTCCCCGCCGACTACCCCGGAGGTCATGCGCGGCTACCACCACTCGCAACAACCTGAGTACTGTCCACCCCCCGAGCACCATCACCACTTCATGATCATAACACCGCCATCGTCGCCAGACGGTGGGGAGGGCCCCGGCTACCATCCACCCCCACACTACCCACTGGCCTTCAACCCGCGGACCCCTGGGCCCGGTGGAGGGCCTTTTAAGGCCGGACCAGGCCCCAAGTCCCGCCGGAGGCAGAACTGGAGCAGGAGGAAGATTATCGTCCATACGTGCTCGCATTCCGGCTGCGGGAAGACGTACACCAAGTCGTCGCATTTAAAAGCGCATTTACGCACGCACACGGGCGAAAAGCCGTATCAGTGTGGGTGGAAGGGATGCGGGTGGAAGTTCGCGCGCTCCGATGAGCTGACCCGCCATTACCGGAAGCACACTGGGGACAGGCCCTTCCAGTGTCGCCTCTGCGAGAGGGCCTTCTCCAGGTCGGATCATCTGTCCCTCCATATGAAGAGGCATATTACCATGTGACCTCTGTGTGTGGGAGGTGGGGAAGCGAGTGTCAACTGGTCCTGTTCATAGGGGAAATACAGTACACTGAGAAAAAACTATGGCTTATTAACCAAATTTGTGGTTCATATGGAACACCACTAATAGTAGTAAAGGCAGCATATAATATTAGCACATATACCTCGGTAATGGTATACATATAGACCTTAGTATGGTACGAGATACCTTAGTATGGTTTACAGACCGAGAATCATTAGTTCATTTATTATTATTATCGGCGTTCCATGAACCACTAATAATTGGTTTATTAAGCCATAGATTTTTCTGCGTATAGGTGATGCCTAGTGAAGGATTTGTTCCTAAAACCGACATACGTTACACGGGAGAAGTGGTTTTGTGTCTGTGGAGCTAGATCAGATGGCATCACCTAGATTTTGGGTAGGTGGCAGTCTTGCCTAGTTCTGCGAGGGATAGGGTGATACCTACCTGAAATCTAGGTGATACTATTTGACATGTCTCCTCGGGCATGAGTTGCAAGCCGTATTTTCCATGTAGTAAAAAAAATAGGAATTAGCATGGAACAAATTCATGAAAAATATTGAAACTGTTATCCTTAGGAAATTTAAAAAGGTTTTGATGGAATTTTGCACCGTTTTTGGTCATGTTGGACTGGAAATTTGGTTCAATTTGACGTTTCTTGGATCCTTTCCCTGAACATTGGGACTTACTTGATGAATAATATCACCTGCAAAGCTTAACACATCGTCACCTCTTGTATTAACTCTATAGGTCTTGCCATCAATGAGAACAGAATAGACCATTGAAGTAGGTTATAATTTGAACACTGCAATTATTATATTGATGCGAAGAGACTCGAGGAGCACGTTTCTTTGTTTACAATGTTGATATCTGTAAGTTATTTTAAGGGAAAACGTGCAACGCCATTGCAGAAAAATGTGTTCGGTAAGATTATTTTCCAGGAGATATAGGTGAACAGTCCGGTGATTTAAACTTAATGCATCAATAATGCCATGTCATAGAAAATGAGTTAGAATTTGGCAGAAGGATATGATTCCTGAACTATATTAAACCCAGTATTTTCCTCATATATTTTTTTTCGAAATTATGAACGTTTTGCATTTTATGCGAGGAGTACATAAACTAAACATTTTAAACAAACTCTTAAATGGTAGGATTTGTGAATAATTAAATTCTCAAAAACTATCTTAATGCAACTGTATTTTAACGAAGAATAATAGCGCATAGTGCATTAATTCTTAATCTGTTTCGAGTGGTTCATTTGATAGCTTTTTTTGAGAAAAAGTGGGAAAAGAAAAAAAAATAATCCAATTTCTGACCATCTTGCATTTACGATTTATTTACAATTCTACAGTACACGAAAATTACCCTTAAAGGACCGTGGACACCGGTACGGCATTAAGTAAAGTTAATTTTATACTCGTATTTTCTGCAGTAGTCAATCCATTATTTCACAAATCGTTGAGGCAACCGACTTTTCTTAAATTTTTCCTTGCTAAAATATATTAAGAGAGAATTCACATCAAAAACTGCAAACTATGCCTCGTGGCCATCAATGGGATTTTATAATGAGGGCATTGTATGTATGGTCATTTGCCCGTTTTGTCGAGTATTTTGTGGCACCTTGAGGCGGCTGTCTAATTCCATTAAGGTTGTTACCTATTGAATACTCCAAGGAGTGAGGATATTTGAATTGTTTTCAGAATATATTGTCATGAAGGGCACACGAATTAAATTACCTTGGATGTGTGACAAGACCAGCCTGAAGACAGAAGCGCATCCGGAATGGCCGTTAGAATGAAGAGGTGTGATGGTACTAGAATCATGGGATACGTCCTGTCAGGTTGTAGATCGGCGTGTCATTTCACGGTACACAGATAATGTGTCAAAGCATTGTTCTCGCTGCTGAATGACCATGTACCGTCCTTTAATTGTTTGTTGTTGTATGTAGCATGTCTCTTTTCAGATTCACAGCATGTAAAATGATACCGTTGCTGAAAAAATGGCCTCTCCTAGCTTTAGAATATTTCATTCCCTCCCTCTCTTATCATAAGATAAAATATTAAAGATTCAAAATAAATACATCTATCATTAAAAAGTTACTTGTATCGTGAGAATAACCCTGAACGTCAAAGTAGAACTCCATTGAAAGTTTTTATTCAGATGGACGACATTTAATTGGTTATTTCTTTAAAACCTGCTGACATGTAAGGATTTTAAATCAACTTTCAATGATCAACCGCACTTTTTCGAAAATAATTTTTTAGGCAAACTTTACAATTTTACGAGTCACTTCTTGAATTTAACATGCTTGACTTCTGTGTCATTTATTATTACATTCTGATTCCTTGAAATATTTTATTATTAGACTGAATTCACAAAGATTTTCAACTTTGCTCCTCCGATAAGTACTGTCGGAATGTGAGGCCTTAAAAATTTAAAGTGTTTTTGACAGGCGAAATTGTAAATTTCTATGTGGAAGTTTAAAAATCATTTTTATAATTTGATTATTTGTCTAAATGTCAACGCCAATGTTACAAGAAACAACCATATGATGCAACATTCTATTGTTGCCTCTGTTTTTACTACAAGCTGTTCAGCGTTTTCCAAAAAAAAAAAAAAAAAACAGTTAGCTTGATCATTTGAATTTTAGATTTAACTGACGCTTTTATTTGGATTCAACACGATTTAAAATTAAGCAGGAAAAACATTTCAACTTAGAGTGCATGATAGAATTATCAGTTCTAGACTAATGAGAACTTTAAAGTTTAAGATTTCCTTGAGAGATCAGATTGGAAATTCCGGTTAAATATTTACAGAACCATGACCTCTTTTAATAAAAATAGTCATTTTAATGATGTGACTAGATAAAAAATCTTGTGTAAGTGTATCCTTTTCATCAAAACATTCATTGATGTTTTATGTACATGTATAGTATAGAGAGAATTCTTGGATGGTTCTTAAATTTTACATTATTTGGAAACAAAATATTAGAAACCAAGCCACATCCAGTTTTTTAAGTGTGACAAAATTTGTTCACATCAAAATAGCGCGTGAATAAGTTCCTACAACAGATAACTTAAGAGTAAATATTTAGGGGAAACAAAAAAAATCTGCAATTATTTTTATGAATTTCTTTTAGTTACATATATTTCCTGAAATGTTTTCAGCATACTGAAAAAATTTGTCTACAAACTTGAAGGTCTTCATGAAAAGTTGTTCATAAAAGTAAAAAATTTACAAAGTGAATAATACACATCAGAGGTGAGATTTAATTAAACAAAATAAATTTCTATCATCTAGGTGACTTCTGGAAATGTAATGTCTTTGAATAAGTTGCTCTTAATCTATGGTATAGAAGAATAAGTCAAACGAATACAGATCCTTTGAAGTCTTTCTAGTCACTGAGCTGGTTTACTGACATTAATATGGAGTTATACTATGACTCCATTGGTGGACGTAAACGACCTCAAATGTAACAACGTCCTAAAAATCAAACTATTATGACCAAAGCAAGAAATTATTATTTTACCAAAATATTGTAAATAAAATATACGTGTACAGTTCTTTTTTAGATTATATGATGATTTTGCAATTATTATCCACTGTATTTTTCTTTTCTGTGATGAATCAAAAGCTCTTAAAATCGTATTTTTTTAAAACTAGGGAATATCTTTCTCTGAAAAATTTAATTTCGCGCAGAAATTGTTGCGTATGGAAAAAACCTGACTTCATTTTCGATTTCAGCAGCAAAATTCATGTATGTCGAGCAGACCCACTATTCGCCCCAAAATATTGTTTCTTCCTATTTTGGAACGCAAAATAATCAGCAGGACGATATTCAATCTTTATAAAATGACCTCGATCGAATAATTCCTATCTCAGCAGTGCCATTCTGATTGATACCGTTTTACGATAAATCAATCACGATAGTCGATAATGATTCAAAAATTCAAGCGCATAATGTAGGTTTACTATGCAGCGTTTGACTGAATAAATTTTGCTAACAAAGGGAGTAAGAGCTAAAAATTACCCTCCTCTCCCAAATTGCACTGATTTTCCGGAAAACAGATGATGTCTGCTTAGAGAAGTTTTTTTGTTTTGTTTTTTTGGAGGGGGGGAGGGTTTATCTACACATTGAGATGAGCCCGGGAAAGTATCAAATTGTATATGAAAAACAGGGTTCATGGCAGCGCGTAGTTACGCCCTTATGTCAGGAGGGCGACAATAGAACCCCTTTGAGCATATTGCGAGTATTAGCCATTGAAACGTCTCTCTCCATACGCAGAGACAACATATTTTACAGATTCGCCCCCAAAAATATTTCCAAATGTGCAGATTATCGCTATTTTCCACCTAATGATGATTTTGAGCATGTAATTTGCCTAATGATGACTAATGAATGTCGAAGGCATCACTTTGCTGGGTGAGTTATGGCTATCTATAGGTTAATAAGTGCCAGACCAGTTACCCAAAACTATGGTCATCAATCATCAGTAACGAATCTGAGTATTGAATTCCAAACGTAACTTTTACAGGGGAGGGATGGTATCAATGTCTAGGATACAGAGACGTAGTCAAAAGCACCCCCCCCCTTTCCCGCTCCGACCGGTAAATTTTCCGTAGAAACGTCATTTTTCATTATTTTCAATGATTCTCATTTCTGAACTAGCTTTTCCCCTTGAGAATTTTCTTAACGTGGTGCCCTCTCGTCCCCTCCCCCTTTTAAAAATGTCTGGATTTACGCCACTGCTAAAATGTGTACATTGCCCCCGGGTAAGGATCACCTGTTCTTATTAAAAATGTCAGTTCATCGTTTCCCAGGCGAAGGAACGTAACTCCATTCCAAGGTTGCAAAGTTGACAGGATTAACTCAAGTAATTACATTTTTCACAAAAAGGTACTTGTACAATTTTCCTCAAAAATTTGTCTGATTGTTGCATAATTCAAAGGAAAAAATCAACGAACTTTTCAATTATAAATACCTAAGATTCTCCGGGTAAAAATTCAATTTACGAGGGGAAATTTGACAACATCGAAATATAGTTACATTCTTTCGTGAGAGTAACGACGAATTATGACCGTACTTTCCCAAGCTGCTGATACACTGAAAAAAAAGTTACCGGCTATATACACATACCGTCCGTTCCGGGCTCAGAGGCTGGAGCCGTAACTTCGAATGCTCCGGGTGCCACGCCCGGAACTCTCGGCCTCTGAGCCCGGAACGCGGACGGTAAGCCTACATAGCCCGTAAGTACGGCTTCCACATCCGAAGTTTTTTTCAGTGTATGACCAAGTAGTGCGAATCTAATTTTTTAATGTGGCAACTCCGATCAAAACTGGACAGGAATTTTTCGCGCGACAGAAGGCGGACAGGGGCCCGCGGGAACCGGCGGAGGGGACATGAGGCTGGGTTAGGAAGGCGCTGCGCGAGTGGCCATTTATTAACACGTTATCTGTTGTCAGTAGCTCATTGGCGAGCATATCCTTGGTTATCCAGGTAGGCAGTTATTTATTGCTCGGGTGCTCCGAGCATTCGATCCCCGGACTAAACTCCAAAGGGCATGTCACACTCACACACTCCAGAGCCGCGAGTCGTCACACGTTTCCACGTTCCGTGTGAAATACGTTTCCTTGTGAGTGTGAACCCTCCTCTCCCCCTCATCTCTCACCCGGGACAGGGTTCCAATACTTCGCCGAGCGAAAAACGTCGGATCCACGCAAGGATTGCGTTGTAGTTGAGTGGTTTTAACTCGGAGGTGGGGTGTAACGCCTGCGCTTCGCTTGGCGATTTCGATTTCGTTGTCGACAATCTAAATATCAGGCTCGAGTGTCTCCCGGCTGCTGAGGTGGACACCGGACAGTCTTATTTTCAAATGCAAAAATGTGACTTCCGGTACTCTGCGCTGTACTACGGAAAAACGCCGTATAAACATTCGAGAGTTGCCAAATTTCTGCAGATAAAACATGTACTTTTGAGGAAAGTTATTCATATTTCTTCCTAAGATTTTCGGATATTTTAGATCAAATTGTGAACAAAATTACCAACAAAAATTTAAGAAAAATGTTTGCAATTTTCAAAGAAAATTCGGGTTTTATTGAAGTATATCTGGCAACGTCTAAAAGCTCATACGGTGTTCTTCCTTAGCACGGTGGTACTGGACCGAGGGATCCGCTACGCAGTAGGAACGTGCTTACTTGAGGGTCGTGTACTTCTGGTCTTGATAATTATTCGGATGCGCAAATTGATTGTGGATTCTGTGTGGACAGAGTTCACTTATTGCATTTCAGGCAACGTTCGTTTGGGTCAGCGTGCCTAATTTTCAAGAGACCTACTTACGCACAGTGGCGATTCTTGAAAGTTGGCAACACTGTTTTACCTCCATTTAAAGTTATGTACAAAAATCGACTCAGAGTGAGGAAGTTTGTCCTTCTTAAAATGGATATTTTTCATAGATTTGAATTGAGGAAAAACAGTTGCCAATTTGCAAAATTGCCACTGCCTACCCAGTGTCTTGAATGCTATAAAAAGTTGAAGTTATAAAATAGATAATGAAGCATGAACTTCAGCAATAGTCAATGCCACGGTCGTGATAGATGTCAAAACTGCAAAGAGTTTTTTAGTTGAGCGTGTCATGTACGCATTCGTCTGGTGAAGTTTGAAAATTGACGTGAACGCCAGAAGCAATGTTTCGTGTAAAAATGTTAGACAAGGGATACATATTTTTATCACGCATTGATAGGTAAGTAGAAAAGTACGTTTCTCGGTAAATGTCTTAAAGTTTCTCATGACTTTATAAAAGAAAGCTAACAGACCAGTGCAAATTTTTGTGCACCACTGTATGGTAATTTACAAGTGGAAGACATGCAGTGACGCCATTATGGAATGCATCATTGTGTTTAATCACGTCAACCACCTCGTTTCCCAATGGACGAGTTAAGGTTAATATTGATGCACTGAACGATAGAAAAAAAATCTTTTCCAGATTCAATTTTTGCACTTTGCCCAAATAATTAAATAACGCCTGATACACTCTGATACCAGTTTTTAAATTTTTTAGCGACTAAATCTTAAAATTTAATGTTATCTCTTAGAGTTTGACGCGAATAGCCATGGCTGATGAACGCCTCATTAAATTAAGTAAACTAACTAACTTAGAAACATTGGATGATTTTTGATTTCTCGACGCTGTGTCAGTTTTCTCCAATTTTGAACCCGTTGTGTCGGGATGTAAACTAACACTCCAAACTGTGTATCTTTCGACCTCAATCACTAATTTTTCCAAAATCATTACTGGCCTTCCAGTACCATATGGCCCATTGTTCTCACTTTTACCAACCGGTAGACTAAATAAAACCGAAACGCGCTGATCTCGACAGTTCGCCTCGACCTTGAGCAACTATTTTGACTCTCCGGAGATCAAATTGCATATCCAACGAAATTGAAGGAGCTTTGTGTAAATGCGATGAACGCGCACGGCGTACCAGTAAAAATCTAAAAAAAAAAAGCCCCATCACCGAAAGTTTGCCTCGTCCTAGAGCAACTATTTTAACTCTCGGGAGATCAAATTGCATATCCAACGAAATTGAAGGAACTTTGCGTGAATGCAATGAACGTGTATCATTAGATTTTTTAAAAAGGGAGAGTGCCAATCTCGAAAGTTCACCTACTGTATTTTTTGGCGAGAAACTTAAATTTTTAGTCACATGTTTAAAATTCAAAGATTCAAGATGACGGGCGAATCCGAATATACTATATTGGCTCCTGTTTGATTGATTTTTGTCAGACTCGGCATGAGGAAGTTTTTTTTTTTTTTTTTTTTAACGAGTATATAACTAGAATTTTTCATCAAACTTTTGAAATTCCAAAAGCCAGAATGGCTATGCTCGTCGAGAAAAGTAAACTTAAGATTTAGATAAGTATTTTCATGAAATGCTTGGTAAATTCAGGGATGCTAGGACGTTACTGAAAATAAGCCCGTTGTTTTTCCTAGCCTTGCGTTAAAGTCTCCTGAAATTTATTGGAATGAGCGAGGTTTCTAACGCTTCTGTTGGATCGATTTTTGTGAAAATTGGCAGTGCGAGGTACTATTTAGCGAGGGACTTGAATATTTAGTGACATTTTCAAAATTCGAACATCAGAGACGACAAATATGACCTATAAGATGCTATCCTTGGTGCCTCTGACATTTTTCAACCTTGTAATTGAGGTATGCATTCTTTCTCGGTTCATTTTGGAAAATTGATTCATGCACCCTTAGCTCATTAAAACCTCAATATGGTCTTCAACATTTTAATGTTAAAACTGCTTGTTAATTTTTCTTTTGATGCATTAGCGTTTTGGTACGGAGACAACTATTTGCCTAGAAATTGAAATATCTCAAAAAATAGGTAAGTTCCTATAATTTGTTTGAACGTGTGATAATGTGACAAACCGCCGACACATCTCAACCTAAAACTAGATAAATTATAAATAACTTTATATACTTGATTAGAGAGGAGAATTAAATAATCTTTAATTGAAATATGAGTCCAATAGCTTGATTTTAGCTTACATATCTCAGAACTAATGTTTGAGCTAAGTATCGATCCGCGACACTT